AAAAAAAAAAAAAACGAGAGGAAGGAACCGCCGGCTTTCGGGCTTAGGTCAGCAGCTTCTCAGGACAGCCCAAGGACAGCTGTCCCATCCAAGTGGGGGTCGTTGATGGTGAGGGGCCATCCTCCGCCAGAACAGGGTTGAGCGGCGCCCCCGAGGAGGCAGGACGGCGGAGGCACTGGGGCAGAATGTCCTCCTCCTGGAAATGGAGTGATTTACATTTGGCATCTGTTTGGACCAGGAGTGGGAATTGCCTTTGTAATTTCTTCTGTCATGCTGCCGTCAGAAAATTAAGCTGTTTACGCGACAGACTATGGAAGGTTAATGGCTCTTGTGGGAAAGGTCAAGTGGTCATTTTGAAGGGAGGCCGTGCTGAATAATCGGAAGGGCAGAAGAATAAAGCATAAAATCTATCTGACTGCTTCTCCCCAGCTTTTCCCGGTCTTTCCCAGCATCCCCAGTTTCTTCTTTGTGGCTGGAACCGAATGTTCCAGAACACTCTGGAACTGAGTGTTCCAGCCAGGCTTGCTGTTGCTCTCCTTATGCCAGTAACAAAAGATACTGCATGAAATCGCTTATGTTCCTGGAATAACCTGGGCTTTTCCATTTAAAAAAATTAACAGGTACTTCTAAATTTTTTTTTTTAACGTTTATTTATTTTTGAGACAGAGAGAGACAGAGCATAAACAGGGGAGGGTCAGAGAGAGAGGGAGACACAGAATCTGAAACAGGCTCCGGGCTCTGAGCTGTCAGCACAGAGCCCGATGCGGGGCTTGAACCCACGAACCGTGAGATCATGGCCTGTGCCAAAGTCAGACGCTCAACCGACTGAGCCACCCGGGCACCCCAACAGGCACTTCTATTTATTGTGTGTCTAAAAATGTTTTCAGCCAACAGATGGCCTTCAAGGTGGCTCTTTTGTTTTCCTGAAGAAAGCGGAAATAAAGAAAAATTCTGGACACTATAAAAACAACTCAGATTCAGTTAAAAAAAAATTCTTAAGGGGGCACCTGGGTGGCTCAGTCAATTGAGTGTCCAGCTCTTGATTTCGGCTCCAGTCATGATCTCATGGTTTGTGAATTCGAGCCCCATGTTGGGCTCTGTGCTGACAGTGCAGAGCCTGCTTGGGATTCTCTCCCTCCCTCTTTCTCTGTGCCTCTCAAAATAAATAAAGTTAAAAATAAATACATGCATGCATACATACATAAATAAAGGGGGAGCATTTTTAGGCCCCCAGTTCTGTAAGCAGGAGGTAGTTCTTTTTGACTACCAGGCATCTATCTTCCTGAAGGTGTGCGGTGTCCCGGCTGGTTATGGGGTGGCCCCTAGAGCACAGAGCCTCAGATCCCTGACCGGAAAACCTGGGGTTCGCTTGGAGACCAACGAGTCCTGTCGTGACAGGAGCCCCCCCCACCACCACCACCCCAGCTTCGTCACAGGGGCTCCAGGCTCCAAACCCCTGTGACGAGTGAGTGCCAGGGTCCAGCCCTGGCCAAAGCCAAGAGTTTGGCCAAAGCCTTGCGGCACTGCCCGCGGGCATTGTGTGCTGGCGGCCCGGCCAGGCTCCTGCAGCCCTCGGGGCCTCAGGTGGGGCAGAGCCGAACAGGCAGGGTTCCCGGGCCCTGCCGAGCTGGAGGGAAGGGCACAGCCCCGAGGCAGCTCCCGGGAAGCTCGGTTCTCACCGATAGGCACAGAACAGGTTGTAACCCCCACAAACTGGGAAGACTTGCGTTCCTCCTTTCTGGCCCAGCCTGCGTCTTACCGCCTGTAGCCCACGCCGGGTAAACGCAGTGATAATATTCTCTAATATTGTTTGAGCGGTTTTCTGCATGTGAGGCGTCATGTTGAGAACTTCTCTTGGGTCTCTGCATCTGTGTTGTTCAATGTCTCCCAGACCCGAAGGACATGGGAAAGAGAGCCGGGCACCTGGTGGGATGGGTCTCACATTTTAATAGTCCCGGGCTTCCAGGAACCCTGTCTATAGAGAGGCACAAGTTAAACTATCTCTGTTCCTCTTTATGGTCAAATGGCTTTGCTCAGAGAGAAGAAGGCTTCGTCTACCATGTGTCCCGAGGGGTCTGCCTATGGCCTGGGGTGGGCCGGACAGTGGAGGCCAGGGCCGGCACTGTGCTCCCGAGAATCACGAGATCATCTTCAGAAAGGCATGCTTCCGGGGCGCCTGGGTGGCTCAGTCGGTTGAGCGTCCGACTTCGGCTCAGGTCATGATCTTGCAGTCTGTGAGTTCGAGCCCCATGTCGGGCTCTGTGCTGACAGCTCGGAGCCTGGAGCCTGCTTCCGATTCTGTGTCTCCCTCTCTCTCTGCCCCTTCCCCGCTCATGCTCTGTCTCTCTCTCTGTCTCAAAAATAAATTAAAAAAAAAAAAAAAAAAAGAAAGGCATGCTTCCAAGAGCCGAGCTGTGTGGGTCTCCAGTGAGACAGGGAGGAGATAGCTGTCTTCTCTTAAGAGCATCTGGGGCCCCTGAAACCTAGCACCTTGACCACTGGCTAATAGGAGCTGCGGCGGGGTGCTGTGGAATAATGGAGTTTTCTTTTTCAGGCAGCAATTAGGGGTTAGTTATTAGCAGTTAGGGGTTCACCACATGCCCTGTGGACCTGCTGTCCTTCCCTGGAACACAGGTCACTTGTCTTTCTCTGTGTTAGCAGCTGGATCCATCTGCCCCCAGGGGTCCCCAGAGGCCGGCAGCAGGGGACCATTGGGACTGAGATCTGCTGGCCCACTGGCTCTCCTGCCCGGGCGCGGTGACCTGGCCCTGGGCCCTGTCATGCTGACCTCCATCAGTCATGCCCAGTGTGGCATCTGGACAGACCCTTACCCGTGGCTCTGCTCTCTTGAGCTGGCAGAACGAGGACAGGGCAGTCTCTCTTGGTACGGCTCCTGGGCCCAGCTCACCTTGTCCCCTCCTGCTCTTTTGTAGACGTTACTACAAGGAGACCTCTGGCCTGATGCTGGACGTCGGTGCCTACACAAAGGCGCTCGAGGTACCTCCCTGAGTCTGTCCGAGCCACCTTCAGATCTCGGGGCTGTTTGGGGTGTTTCTGGTCTTTCTGGAGAAGGGGGTGTACTCCCATGTCTGAATCGCCTCTTAGGTTTCCACAGTGGGCCCTCCTATTCGGGCCTTCAAGCTGAGCGCCCTCTCTGCCCCAGAGCTTGGCCCCTCAGCTGCCTTGGTCGTCAGTCTACTGTCCTGTCCTTCACGCTCCTCCCCACACTCCAGCCTGCCGGCTGTTGACCCGGCTGGCCCTCCAGCATGCCCACTGCCACTCTCCTCTCAGACTCTCATTGAACCACCTGCCTCGTTCCTAACACCTGCGACACCTGGAGCTTGATGTGTCCCGATGGGATTCCTTCCCGACTCCCTCCTCCAGCTTCCAGGGCCAGGCTCAGATGGGGCTCCCCAGGGTCCCCTCTGACCCACGCCTGATCACCTGCCCCAGGTCACTCACTGCTACCCTGGCTCCTTCCTGCCTGTGCTCAGGTGGGAGGGTTGAGCACATTGGCAGATAGAGCCATGGCCCTTTTCTTCTGGAGGGCAGGTGACAAATGAGAGCATCAGCCCAGGTGGCCCGCCTCCTGCCATGCTCAGGTTTTTGAGCAGGGGGCCCGCTAGGGGTGCCCCCCAGCATCCTGTGCACCCTGATGTGGGGTCGTGATGCTTTTGCCTATGAGATGTGTTTCGCAGCCCCTGTGTCCTGCCTCCTGGAGGCTCCCGGCCCCCAGGGGGAACATTTGGGGCACTCTTTCCTTAATTCCCCGGAGGGAGGCCTCTGGATCCGTATCCACCTGTTAATCCTAAACCCATGCCATGTGTCCTTTTCTATTTTCCCAGTATGCCTGTGGAATCAAGGCCGAGGTGGTGGGGAAACCCGCTCCCGGTTTTTTCCAGTCAGCCCTGCAGGAGATGGGGGTAGAGTCTCACGAGGTAGGCCAGCCGCTCACGGGCGTGTGTGGAAGCGGGTCTGTTGCGGGGGGGGGGGGGCCCCGGGGCACTCAGGTGGGGCAGCCCTGGGGCCTGAGGTGGGCCTGAGGCCTTGGGCAGCCTGTGGGGTTTGGCTGGGCAGCCAGGTAGGTGGGCCCTTCCACCCATCAGAGCTGATTGTCCTGGGGAAAGACCGCAGAGGAGGCCCACAGAATGCTTTCAGCCTGTGGAATGCGTTTCAGCGTAAGAGTAAGAAATGCCTGTGGCTGTGTCCCAGTGACTTTTGCTTCTTCTCCGGACAGATGAGAACTGAAGTGTATTAATGTGTCAGTGTTTTAAACATAGTTCATTGAGGGGCGCCGGGGTGGCTCTCCGTCGGTTAAGCGTCCGACTCTCCATCTCTGCTCAAGTCACGATCTCACGAAGAGCCCCGAATCGGGCTCTGTGCTGTCAGCTTGGGGATCCACTCTCCATCTTTCCTTCTTCCCTTTCTGCCCCTCCCCTGCACGTGCACATGCACGTGCTCTCTCTCAAAAAATAAATAAACTGAAAAAAATAGATCATTGAAAGGCCAACATACAGCAAGAGTCAAACAACATGTAAGCACTAAATCGTGCGTCTTGCTACCTTTACATTGTGACTGTTTTTGACACAGATGGCCTTCCCAACATCTTAAAAAGAAAAAAGCACGATATTTTAAAAGAATTTGATGCCTCCAGTGCCTCCCACTTCCCAGGTAGTGTGGAGTTGGTCCCCAACAGCAGGTGGTTTTCCGAGAGCATCGCTGAAAAGACCATGGGCACGTGTCTGCAGTGGGCCCCGGGCTGTCTGTTTTGGACATTGGCACTGAGGACAGCATCAGCATCTGCAGTGAGGCTGTGCCCCCAGGACCACTGTGATGCTTGCTGATTGATTGTTGGACCCGAATTTCCCACATGTGTTCTGGTCTAGAGCACTGGTCTCTCAAGATGCATGGGGACAGTCCCAGAAGTCTGGACCCTCTGTCCCCCCCCCCCCAGTCTCCCCAACATCTGTGAATGTCAGAAGGCAGGGTCTCTGAGGTTGCCAGGGAAAACCCAGAAAATGCCTTGTGAGGTTGGTAAGAGAGAAAGAGAGAATGTTTGTTTTGAATGAACAAAGACCACAGGAGTAATGACCCTGGGTTTTCACGACTTTGTTTCATAGGGCAGAATTTCTTTTTTTATTGTGGCAAATTTCAGACATACATGAGAGCAGAGAGAATGATACAGCGACTCCCCCCACACAGCCATCACTCAGATTTAACAAAAGATTTTTGCCGCATTTCCTTCTTGTATCTTTTTTGCCTTTTTTCAACTTGTTTTCTTATCTTTTTTTTTTTTTTTGCTGTTGTATTTTAAATCCCAGATTTGTTGTTGTCATGTGTATCCTTTCATATTTTAGTAATGCCTTCCAAAAAAACGATAGTTATTTTTCACATAACTACAACACGTTAAAACACCTAACAATGGCCAACAGACACACAAAGAGATGCTCTGTGCCATCAGTCACGGAAATGCAGATCAAAACTACAGTGAGATCCCACCTCACACCCACTTGGATGGCCATCCGTAATCATTTTAAAAACAAAACACAAGGGAAGATGGCCAGCGTTGGCGAGGATGTGGACAAATTGGAGCCCTCATGTGGGAATGCTGGCTGGAATGTGAAATGGGGCAGCCCCTCTGGAAAACAGCTCCTGGAGAAGGTAAACAGAAGCACCCTATAACCCAGCAGTTCCACTCCTATGGACGCATCCAAAAGGATTGAAAACAGGTGTCCAAACAAAAAGTTATACGTGAATATTCATAGCAGCACTATTCAACATCGCCAAAAGGCGGAAACAATGCAAATGTTCATCGACACATGAACGGATAAACAGAATGCGGTCTATTCACACCATGGAATATTTCAGCTATAAAAAGGATGAAATACTGATCAATGCCACAATGCGGATGAACCTGGAAAACACGGGAAGCGAAGGAAGCTAGGCACAAAAGGCCGTATTTTACATGTTGCGTAGCGTTTGTATGGCATGTCCCAAATAGGAAAATCTGTACAGACATAAAATAGATCAGTGATTGCCGGGGGAGGGGGGGGTGCGGAGGGGCTGTTGATGGGGACAGTCTCCTGTTGGGGTGATACAAATGTCTGGAAGTAGACAGGGGTGATGGTCATATAATGTGACTATGCTTTATGCTACTGATTTGTATACTTTAAATGGTTACATTAGTACATTTTATTTTATGTGTTTTTTTATCACAGTGGAAAAAACCCCTACCTACAAAATCAACAGTGATTCCTTAGTATTTCCCAGTAATCCATATTTAAGTCTCCCTGCCTGGCTCAGAAATGTTCTTTGACGTTGATATGTTTGAATCAAATCCAAACGGGGTCCACATCTCCTGTGCGGTTGTTTTGTCTCTGAAATCCCTCTTTTTAACTTTTTTCCCTTTTTTTTTTTTTTAATTTTTTTTTTCAACGTTTATTTATTTTTGGGACAGAGAGAGACAGAGCATGAACGGGCGAGGGGCAGAGAGAGAGGGAGACACAGAATCGGAAACAGGCTCCAGGCTCCGAGCCATCAGCCCAGAGCCCGACGCGGGGCTTGAACTCACGGACCCTGAGATCGTGACCTGGCTGAAGTAGGACGCTTAACCGACTGCGCCACCCAGGCGCCCCCCCTTATTTTTTTTTTTTTTAAAGTTTATTTATTTTGAGAGCGAGTGTGAGCAGGGGAGTGGCAGAAAGAGAGTGAGAATCTCAAGCAGGCTCCACACTGTTAGTGCAGAGCCTGGGGCTCAAACCCACAAAGCTGTGAGATCATGACCTGAGCTGAAATCAAGAGTCAGACGCCCAACTGAGCCCCCCAGGAGCCCCTCTTTTTAACTTTTTGTCATGGAACATTCCAAGTATCTATGCAAGTAGGGAGAGTAGCATAATGAGCTCCTCGTTTCCCATCACCAAGCCTCACTAATTATCAACTAATAACCACTTTAAAAACTTATGTGTAACTGTTCATTTTGAAGTAATTTCACACTTACAGAGGTCGCAAAATTAGCACAGAGAATTTCCATCTGCCCTGAAGCCAGCTTCCCCAAATGCTAACATCTTGCATAACAATTGTGGGAGAATTATAAGATCAGATGTCATCATGGGCCAGTGCATCCGGATCTTTGTATGGGACACGTTGCATTTAGCGGTCCCTTCCCCTGTGTCCTGCCTCCTGGGCCAGTCCCTCAGCCTTTCTGGTCTCTAAGGACAGTGGCATTTCTGAATAGTACTGGCTGGTTATTTTGTAGAATATCCCTCAACATCAGGTTTTTTCCTGATGTTTCCTTGTGATTTCATTTAATTTTTGGCTATGCACTTTGGGCATGAATCTCACAGAAACAGTGCTGTGCCCTCTTGGTGTGCTGCACGGGGACAGGTGCATGATGGCACTTTGCCCCTTATTGGTGAGGTTCACTTTGATCAGTGTCGGAGGTGATAGGTGCCAGGGTTCTCTACTGTGAAGTTACTCCTTGTCCCATTAACTAGTAAGTATCCTGTGGGAAAGCATGTTGTCTGTGTAAGTATCCTTTCCCGTTATTCTTTTCTCGTCTCAACGTTTGCATCCATTGATCAATCATTCTTTTTAATTAATTAATTAGTTAATTGTTTGATTGATTTGAGAGAGAGAGAGTGAGCAGGGGAGAGGGCAGAGGGAGAGAGAGAATCTCGAGTAGGCTCCATACTCAGTGCAGAGACAGATGTGGGGCTCGATCCCATGGCCCCGGGGATCATGACCTGAGCCAAAGTCAAGAGTCAGATGCTCAAGCGACCAAGCCACCCCGGCACCCCTCCAGTGATAATTTTTACCTGAAGCAGTTCTTACTGTGGTGTTTGCCGAATGGTCATTTTGTATTTCTGTCATTCCTTCTGTATTTGTTAGTTGGAATTTACTGTAAGAAAGAGCTTTCCTTTTTTTGTCCCCATTTACTTGTTCATTCCAATATGGACTCAGGGCTATTTGTTTTATTCTCTAAGTTACAATTCATTCCCGTTATTTATTTTGTCGTCAGATTGTCCCGTATTTGGCCATTGGGACCCCTTTCAAGATTAATACCCTCTTGTTTAATCTATACTCTACCCATTCTTCTCCCCTAGATTATTTTGATAAAAATTTTTTTTTAACATTTATTCATTTTTGAGAGACAGAAAGAGACAGAGCACGAGCTGAGGAGGGGCAGAGAGAGAGGGAGACAGAATCGGAAGCAGGCTCCAGGCTCTGAACTGTCAGCACAGAGCCTGATGTGGGGCTCGAACCCACGAACCACAAGATCATGACCTGAGCCGAAGTCGGAGGCTTAACCAACTGAGCCACCCAGATGCCCCTCTCCTAGATTATTTTGAAATGTTTATGAATTTATTTTGAGAAAGAGAGTGCGCACGTGTGTGTGTGTGTGCAAGTAGGGGAGGGGCAGAGAGAGAGGGAGAGACAGAGGATCCCAAGCAGGCTCCCAGCTGTCAGTTCAGAGCCAACCACGGGGCTCGATTTCACGAACCATGAGATCACGACCTGAGCCAAAATCGAGTCAAATGCTTAACTGACTGAGCCAACCGGGCGCCCTTGCCCTAGATTATTTTGAATCATATCCCAGAAATCTTGTTACTTTATGTATGAATATTTCGGTGCCCCTAAAAGATAGGAATTTGTTTCAAAATCATGGATAATGCCATTATCACGTCTAAAGAATACCAACAATAATTCTTTAATATTATTAAATGTCCAGTCATTGTTCATGTTCCCTTGTTAGTCTTATAATTGTTTCATGTTGCTTGCAATTTGTTTGAATCAGATTCAGATGAGGCTCTTGCATCGTGATCGGTCCGTGAGATTCTCAGGCAGTGTTTTTATCTACTGATTCCCAACTCCACCCCACCCCCATCTCCCTCTTGTTTTTTCCTTGCAACATTATGAAGCAGCAACTGGGCAGTTTGTCCTGTGGAATTTCCCACGGTCTGGATTTCGTTGATT